GAATATTTCAGGATTCCCCCACTGTCCTTATCCCACATTTATTTCCTAGCTTCTTGGAGCTCTCGTCTCAAAATTACCTAAGACAGGATTTTTCCTGCCTGCACAATATAAAGTAATGCACCATTGTGGCAGCCCATCTCCAAAATGGCCCCCAATGGTCCCAGCTTTTTAGAATTCACATATCTTCCCACATTAAATAGCATATAGACATGAGAAGCGATTCATGTCACTGAGGGAATGATGCAGCATGCCAATTCAGAGATTAGGTTATTAAAGACTGGTGGCTTTTGTGTTGGGTGCTCTCTCTGTATCCTCTATCTCTTCCTTTGATGGAAGAAAGCTGCCATATTGCAAACAGCACTGTGGAGAGGTCTTGATGGTGAAGAACTGTGGCCAACAGCCCATGAGGAAGTGTGACCTGCCAACGACCATATAATTTAGTCCGATTCTTCAGCCCCAGTTGATCCTTGAGATGACTGTACCCCTGAGCAACTGGCTTAATAGCAACCTCATAAAAGACTTGGCTAGCACCTTTCAGCTAGGCTGCTACTGGTGTCCTGACCTCTTGAAACTGTGTAAGATAATAAATGTTTTATGTTTTAAGCTGGTATATTTTTGGTGTAGTTGGATAAAGAGATAACTAATGCACTCCTTGCTTTCTGTTTCTAACCTTGCCTTTTAATTCCCCTTGCTCTGTCATTATATATTAATTTCTTCAGTTTGTTTATTGTGTCTTGAGAACAATGACATTTCTCTTTGAGTTTCCTTTGTATTCCCAGCCTGGAAGAGTGCTTGGAATGTAACAGACAATAAAAAATTGATGAGTACTGAGAGCCTAAAATTTTTATGCAAAAGGTGATAGTTTTTTATTTACTGCTTTTAAATCAGTCTTCAGTGTTCCAACTTTAGCCATCTGTGGTTATAGTAGACATCTTTATGGAATGTCTGCCCCATTCACTATGAATCCTCTTACCTATTGCGAAAAGTCAATATGACCACAAGCACTTGTCACTAATGATTGGATGATTGCTGGATACCAGACCTGCTATGTTGGTGATTGGATGATGAAGGATCTGCTGTTGTGAATGGATTAATCCATTCAAGGATGACGAGATTAATGGGTTACCACAGAAGTGGAACTTACCAGATTCAGTCTCTTGACCTTGAACTTCTCAGCCTCTGGAACTGTAAGAAATAAATTTTTTTAAAAAATTACCCAGTTTCAGGCCAGATACATAGCAAGACCTCATCTCTCTATATATAGCTCTCATGTGAACTAATAGCAAGAACTCATTCACTCCTGGGAACATGGCACCAAGCCATTATGAGGGATCCACACCCACAACCCAGACTCAGAAACCCGAGCCCCATCTCCAACATGGGGGACCACATTTCAATCTAAGACTTGGTAGGGGCCAAACAAATCATATCCAAACCATACCATTCATGTTGAAATTTATTTATTTTTATTTTAAATAGTTTGTTTTATTCTTTATTTTTGTGGATACATAGTAGGTGTATATATTTATGAGGTCATGTTAAAATTTAATCCCCCATGGGAAGTATTAAAAGATGGGAGGGACCCTTATGATGAGGTGACTGAATCATGAAGGCTCTGCCCTCATGGATAGATTAATTCACTCACAGATTAATGAATCAATAGGTTAATGGATTAGATTAAGGGGTATCATGGGAGTGGAACTGGTGGCTTTTCAAGAATAGGAAGAGAGACCTGTGCCAGCACACTCAGCCCACTGGACAAGTGAAATCCTGTGCTGCCTCAGGACCCTTCAGAGAGTCTCTACCACTTTCACCAGGTATAGTCCCTTAACCTGGGACTTCTCAGCCTCTATAACTGTAAGAAATAACTTTTTTCTTTATAAATTAGCCAACTTTCTGGTAGTCTACTATAAGCAACATAAAATGGACTAAGACAAGATCCGAGCTGAGCCAATCAGAAATTCTCCCCTGGGTTATTAGGAATTAAAAGCAAAAGAGGGAGAAAAAGGAATCTCTGTGTGGCTGTCCCTCTGCATCAATCTGGACAGCTATGTCGCACTGTGGTAAGAAACAACAGCAACAACCTCCAGAGCCTTAAGTGACAAAGGCGTATTTCTTATCACAATATGTGTTGTTACGGTTTGAATATAGTTTGTCTCCTACAAAACTCAAACTGAAATTCGATCCCCAATATGGGGATGTTGAGAAGTGGGGCCTAGTGGGAAGTGTTTTGGTCATGGGGTGGATCCCTCATGAAGAGATTGTTGCTGTTTTCGCAAATGTCAGTTCTTGTTCTGAGACAGGGCAGGAATCCCTCTTAAGGGCTCTCTGGGGATCCTCCACCAAAACATGAAAATTAAAAAAATCTTGACTTCCTTAAAGAAAATTCCAGACATCTAGCTAGTCCTAAAAAACAAACAAACAAAATCTTAAAAGCAAGATGATAATAATAGCTTATAACAGCCAAGAAATTAATGTCACAGGATATTTTATTTCCTATAAAAACTAAAGATAACATCTTAACGTATGTCCCAAGTTGTTTTTCAGAAACCCAGATCCCCACTAAATGGATCCACTGGCATATAGGCCTCAAATAGGGGAGAACTGAAGACTAAACTCTGACTACTATTCTTTGTTCTAAATTTCTTCTTGAGGGGCCTTATGGAGACCATGCCCATGAGCCCAAGCTAACATTCTTTTCTGCTTATCTCAGATTTTTAGACAGTTTCATCTTATTAACCAATCATAAATCAGAAAATCTTTAAATCTACCTATGACGTGTGGGCCCCCCTCTTTGATATGTCCCTCCAAAGCATGGCAGGCAAGTCCCAAATTGGAGATTTGCCCAGGAAAGTTCTTGGCTTCACCAAGAAAGAATTCAAGGGTGAGCTGGTGGTGTTAAATAGCAATTTTTATACAAGTAATAGTGTCTAGAAGAAGCAGAGATACTGCTCCTTGCAGAGCAGGGCTACCCTATAGGCAGTGTGCCCAGAGTAGCATCTCAAAGGCAGTTCTTCAGTCATATTTTTAGCCACTTTTAATTACAGGCAAATTATGGGGTAGATTACACAGAAATTTCTGGCAAAAGGTGGTAGCTTCTGGGTTGCTGCCATGGTAAGGGGCATTAACTCCTGGCTGTTGCCATGGAAATGATAAATTGACATGACACCCTGGTGGGTATGTCTTATGGAAAGCTGCTTCCTCCGTGGCCATGTTTTAGTTAGTCCTCAATTTGGTCTGGTGTCCAAGTCCTGCCTCCTACCTCACTGCATTTTTAGGTTAAACCAATAATACAACCCCATATATTCATTTATGACTTGCCAAAAACCTCTGGCACCCCTCCCTTTAAAAACCCTTACCTGTGGCCAGGCATGGTGGCTCATGTCTGTAATCCCAGCACTTTGGGAGGCTGAGGTGGGTGGATCATGAGGTCAGGAGTTCGAGACCAGCCTGACCAACATGGTGAAACCCCATCTCTACTAAAAATACAAAAACTAGATGGTTGTGGTGCTATGTGCCTGTAATCACAGCTACTTGGGAGGCTGAGGAAGGAGAATTGCTTGAACCCGGGAGGCAGAGGTTGCGGTGAGCTGAGAGTGAGCCATTGCACTCCAGCCTGGGCTACATAGCAAGACTCCATCTCAAAACCAACCAAACAAACAAAAACCACAACCCATAAACAATTGGGGAGCTCAAGACTTAAGCACTAACTGCCCAATTCTCCTTGCTTGGCACCCTACAATAAATGCCTCACTTTCTTTCACTACAATCCTGATATTGGTGTTTGGCCTTGCCGCACAGGGAGATTGAACCCCAGTTTGGTTTTATAACAGCTCTTGAGAGATTGGAAAAGAGAGAGTCCCTGAGAGAGTGGGTTGTTATACAGTGAGCTTCCACCTCCTGTTTGGTCCCTTTGCACATGTATCAGCTGCCCCTTTGACCTTCTGCCATGTTGTGACACCACACAAAAAATTCTAACCAGAAGTTGAGCAGATGCTGGCACCATGCCCCCTGAGCTTTCCAATGTGCAGAACCATGAGCTAAATAAACCTCTTTTTTAAAAATCCAAGCATACCTTGAAGATATTGGGGGTTCAGTTCCATACTACCACAATAAAGCAAATATCACAATAAAGCAGTTCACACAAAGTTTTGGTTTCCCAGTGCATATAAAAGTTATGTTTACACTGTACTGTAGACTATTGTGTGCAACAGCATTATGTCTAAAAAATGTACCTATTAGGAAAACAAAAATAGGTCACAGGAGTCTGAGCTATGTGAGGCATGCAAAATTTACTAGACCCAGACAGATGTGAATACCAGGCATTGGCCATGCCTTCCCATACCTAAGGGCAATTGTTTAAAGGCATTTTGTTCTTGACTAGCTGCTTCACCAATTACCTTTATGTTCCTAGAATTTGTGATGCAAGGAAGAAAGCATAGCCAGTCAATAGCTTATGTTTTTAAAATATAAATTCTTGGTAAACAAGTTAAGATCTGCTTCTTCTTTCCTTAAAAACCCACTGTGACTGCTGGTAATTGGTGTGTATATTCAAGGCAACTGGAATCTAAGTTCCTGAGTGGCCTTTCTCAACCACTGAGCCCAAATAAACTCTACACTTAATCGTATTTTCTGAATCTTACTTAAGCTTGGCAATACCTTAATTAAAAATACTTAATATTGATTATGCTCATGAACATGGTCAAATGAGAATCAACTTTGCTGTGCATGTGGGGATAATATGAAACTGTTAATGCAAAAAGACCAAAATCGGAAGGAGGGTAAAGAAGGGCAGACATGGAGAACAAATGAGAGAGAAGGGAAGGGAAGCCTGAAGTATATCAAGGATAACAGAAAATAAAAGGCGGATAAAATTCAAATGAAAAAGGGAAAACCCCTACATCCTCCGAGGGGTCTCTCCAAATCTGGACCACATGCTCCAAGCCACAGTCAGACAACTCGCAACCCGGTGTGCGCCGCGCGTCCGGCTGACACCGGCTTCCAGGATCAGCTTGCGGCGCGGTGCTGTGACGTCACCGGAAGCCGGCACCTCCGGTCCGGTGCAGTCTTCCCAGGACCCTCAGGGAGAACCGGCTGCCTAGTAGGCGGACAGGTGAGGTACAGCTTCCTCTAATTAGGGTGCCCAAAGGAAGGACGGGCGGGCGGGCAGTCACGCGAGATCTGTCGTCCCTTCTTCTCTGTGGTTCCTCGCAGAGCCCCTGTTGCCCTAGAACAGATGGTCCGTAGCAGCGAGAAAAATGTTGCTCCGACAGCTCGCGGGTTCGGAGCCACTTGGCCTGGGAGTTCCTTTAGCTGCAGGCCGGGCAGTGGCTCCCCCGAGCGCGGGAATGCAGCATTGGAACCCCTACGTGCAGCCCACCTGTGAGGGAGTCTTATGGCACCCGCATGGTGGAGTAGAGGCCAAGAAATTGGGCAACCCGCCGGGAAAAAATGGCTAGGAGGGGTCAAACCCTGGCCCATGAATGTTCTTTACCTCCGGCGTTTAGTGGTCACGCCGCCTTTTATTCACGCTGAAGACCTTAACTGTAAACTCTCTCCCTTGGATTTTAGTTTGGTTTTGTTCCCCACGCAAGACAGGATGCATATTGGAACACTTTATTCCTTGATTGATTGATTCGTGTCTTCCCTTGCAAGTAGTTACCGGACACCTGCTTTGTGTCCTGTATGCCAAACACTGGAAGAGTTGGTAATCCTTTAGTTAGAGGAACAAATCTGTGTGGAGAAAGAGATACAACCAAAAGAAACCCAGAAGATTTAGAAACATCTCCAGAATGTTTATTCTCAAAAGCTGTTTTTTAATTAAACTTCTTTCTGAAACTGTAAGTAGGAGTGTCTCTGTTGTGTGTTTCCCTGTTTTTCCATCTAAAGGTGAAAGGCTTGGAAACCTGGTAAGGCCCCTCTTTCCAGCATGTAGCATTCTAGGGGACAATCAGTGCAACACGATGGGTGCCCATCTAAATTTTGTATGTTAATATTTTGCTTTTTGATAATTTAATGCCTTTAGACTGGAGGACTTTTTTCTTTGTTAAAATATTGCTCTACTTTCAGCCTTTTCTCCCTTGTAGTGTTACCATAATATATTTAAGGTTAAGCACTTAATTCTGAAGTCTACTTTAAGTATACTTCAACCAGAGTGAAATTAGTGTATTATTTCTGAGTGTATTTAATACAGATAAGTAGTTTGACACTTGTGAAATTCTTGGCTTTAACTGATGTCCAGGAGCTGAAAGCTGCTCTCTGCACATTGAAAAAATGTGTGTGATTCTACAGTCTCCTGAGACACTGAGAAAGTTTGATGTCACAGTTGCCACCTTAGACGTAGCAAAGGAGTTTTGCAAAACAAATTGCCTTTTTCAAGTAAAGATAATTCAGCAAGTTAATCGTGAGTGTAGTGTGTACCTTAGTTTTTAATATGTCCTCAGCAGTAGTCATGGATTTTATCCTCATTATTTAAGCTTGATTTTCTGACCCACTTGCACAAAGAAGAATCTCACTGGGGTTAGTGAACAGTCATCAGATAGCAAATATAGCAAAAGTAGGTGAAACGTGAAAGTCATTTTTTAAAAAGTTGTGGAATTGCTCTTCTCGCAACCAGGAGCAAAGACAACTACACTGAGTCTTGGTGTAACATATGCTCATTTTCACTTGGACTTTTTGTTTACAGTATTTTGCAGTTTGTTTTTTTGGGGGTTCTTTAGTGTTAGATAATATTTCAAAGTAATATGTGACTGGGAAATGTTGGAATAGGTCTCAGAAGACTGCAGAATTTATTTTGCTACTTAAACGCTTATGACCTTGAACAAAAAAATGTAAACATCTGACCAGGTGTGGTGGCTCACACCTGTAATCCCAGCACTTTGGGAGGTCACAGCAGGCAGATCACAAGGTCAGGAGCTCAAGACCAGCCTGGTCAATATGGTGAAACCCCATCTCAACTAAAAATACAAAAATTAGCAGGCATAGTGGTGGGTGACTGTAGTCGTAGCTACTCGGGAGACTGAGTCAGGAGAATCACCTGAACCTGGGAGGTGGAGGTTGCAGTGAACCAAGATCCTGCTATTAGACTCCAGGCTGAGTGACACAGCGAGACTCCATCTCAAAAAACAAAACAAACAAAACAAAAAAGAGTAAACATCTTTGACCTTCAATTTCTTGTTCTATTAATTACGTACTTTTTAGTATCCTTAAAAAGAATATAATTGAGAAGGGAAAAGAATATAATTTGCAAATGAAAAGTGAAAAGCCGTGGTTTTGTTGCAAGGAGCCAGGTGGTGATCAGGTCAGGACACAGAAAATAATTACTGTAAAAATGTTTGTGCATCATCTGTATTATGTTGACTTTCACCTGTATGTTTTCAAGTGTACATAGGGCTTTGTACTAAGAGTCCCAATTTTCCCCTTTCATACCACTTATACTGATTGCAATTAAATATGTATATAATTATTAATAACTTTTTAAAACCTTTTTGTTTTGAAATAATTGCATATTCACAGGAAGTTGCAAAAACCTTTACTGGGATGTTCCTGTGTACCCTTCAGCCCGCCTCCCCTGATGGTAACATCTTGAATACCTATGGTACAATATTAAAACTGGGAATTGACACTGATACAATTCACAGAGTATATTTCCATTTCACCATCTTTATAAGGACTCATTTGTGTGTGTACACAGGTCTATGTGTAGCTTCTTATAATTACCATAATCAAGATAAGGAATTAATTCTATCACTACAAGGCTCCCTTATGCTGGCTCCTTAACAGTCAAACTATCTTGTCCCAACTCTGTCCCTAACCCATGACAACCACTACTCTATATAGTTTTGTTATTTCAAGTATATTGCGTAGATGGACTCATACCATATGTAACTTTTTGAGATCCATCCAAGTTGTGTGTATCTATCATGTGTTCTTTTATTTATTGCTGAGTAGTATTCCATGGGATGGCTATGCAACAGTTTGTTTAACCATTCATTTATTGAAGGACATTTGGGTTACTCTATTATAAACAGAGCTTCAATGAGCCTTTATGTGAATGTTTTTGAGTGAACATACAGTTTTCCCTCTCTGGGATAAATGCTCAAGAGTACAGTTGCTAAATCATATGGTAAGTGTATGTTTAGTGAATTAATACTTCTTTAGCTTGTTGATATGGTGAGTTACATTGATTTTCAAATGTTGAACATAACTGGTATAAATCTCACTTGGTTATGGTAAATAATTTTCATATATTTCTATATTCTTTTTGCTAATATTTTGTTAAGGTATAGGTATGAGAGCTGTATTGTACTTTTTGCTTGTTTCTTTTGTACTGCCTTTGTCAGACCTTGGTAGAGTAATAGTATTCTACATGGTTTTTAGTGATAACCCTTGTTTCATTATTGCTACTATATTAGTAATTTGTGCCATTTTATCTTTTACAGTGGTGGTTTGCTGATTTTAGTGATATTTTTCAAAGAACTATTTCATCTTTATTTTTCTATTTTTAATGTCATTGATTTCTGCTCTTATATTTATTTTCTTCCATCTCACGTTTATTTTGCTTTTCTTTGTCTAATTCTGTGATTATTAGTTTAAAATCTTTCTTTGTTTCTAATGTAAGCATTTATTGCTATAATTTCCCTCTTGGCATTGATTTAGTTGCATCTCACAAATTTTGCAGTCTTGTATTTTCGTTTCCATTCAGTTCTATGTATTGTAAATTTTTCCTTTGAAATTTCCTTGATCCATGAAAATATTTGGGAGTATGTCATTTAGTTCCCAAGTGTTTGGGGATTTACCTGTTGTTTTTCTGTTGTTGATTTCTAGTTTTTTCCACAATGATCAGGAAACATAAGCTGTATAATTTTTAATTTTTAAATTTGTTTTATGACTGAGGGTATGATGTATCTTGGTGGATGTTCCAGGTATGCTTGAAAAAAAATATGTATTCTGCTATTGTTGGTTGCAAGTTTCTGTGCATGTCAGTTATGTTCTATTCGTTAATGGTGTTGTTCTGTTCTTCTCTGCCTTGTTGATTGTCTGTCTAATAGTTATTTTTGTTGCTGGGGGTCCCGACTATAATTATGAATATCTCTGTTTTCCCTTTTAGCTCTGTTGGTTTTGACTTAATGTATTTTAAAATATCTGTTGTTTGGTACATATACATTTAAGATGTTTTCATGATGAATTAATCCTTTTATCTTTGTACAATAATTTTCTTTGCTCTGAAGTCTACTTTATCTACTGGTAATATAGCCATCCCTACTTAAAAAAAATAAGTTAGCCTGACATATGTTTTCTGTACTTGTATTTTCAACCTACCAATGTCATTAAGTTTTAGTGAATTTCTTATAGACACTATATCCTTGGGTCTTTAAAAAAAGAAACTACTCCGCCAATCTCTGTCTTTTAACTGGTATAATTATATCATTTACACTTGAAAGTAATTGTTGATGTGTTAGAGCTTAAGCCAGCCATTTTATTATTTCTGTTTATTTCCTGTTTTTCATGTCTGTTCCTCTTTTCTTGTCTTTCTGTAGATCGAATATTTTCAGAATTCTATTTGATGTGTTTTTAGTGTTTTTACTATCTAGCTTAGTAAATCTTTTTTAGTATGCTTTGGGTATAACAATAGACGTAACAACTTATCACAAGGGTTACTTGTATTGCCTTTTGCCAATTGAAATATAGGGATCTTACTTCCATTTAGGTTCTTTTACCCTTTCCCTTTTTAAAATGTAATAGTTGTATTTTCTCTATACACCTTGAACACCACATTAAATGTTGTTATAACATTTACTTCAACTATCAAATATGATTTCAAAAATTCATGAGGGGAAGAATAGTTGATTCTATATTCAGTGTTCTTCCTTTACTCAAATTAAACCCTATTCATGCATCGTTTCCTTCTTCTTTTAGAACTTCCTATAGATATGTCTGTAGTGACAAATTATTTTAGTTTCCATCATCTGAGAATGTTGTTCCCCTTCATTCCTGAAGGATGTTTTTGTTCTATATGGAATTGGCCTTGACAGTTCTTTTTCTTTCTTTTTTTTTTTTTTTGAGATGGAGTTTTGCTCTTGTTACCCAGGCTGGAGTGCAATGGCGTGATCT